CCCCAAAACCCCAAAACCCCATCAATAAAAAAGTGAAGTTCATTGAAGCAAAAGATAATTAAGAATTTTGGGTTTTCCATTAAATTACATCAAATATAATACTAAAATTCTGGCCAGACTATTAAAATTTAATACTTAAGTCAAGGCTACTTATATAGTATATAAATAAATACTAATAAACCTTAAAACATTAAGATATGGACACAAAATAGCAAGACATATTATCGCCATTATTAGAAAATTAAGTGGACTGTAACCTCCAGGAATAAGAGACAAAATACAAAGATCTTTTGCCACAAGAGTATTAATGGATAGTAGAGAAACACAGAGAAGTAGATTACTCAAAGCCTGAGAGTAGGTTTTAATCAATTCCATTCAAGTTTGAAAAAATGGAGAGAAAGACTAGAGTCTAGCAGACTCTATTACTTCCACACAGAAATCTTATCATAGTAGAATATTACTATGAAGGTGATAGTAAAAATAGATCTATCGATTTTATTGACTTTAAAACTTAATAACTTTTGTCAACTCTGGATTTAAAAAATCTGCACTATTCGAACGCCATTTATCACAAAATTTTCAATGATGTCGACTACATTTTTTATCAAACTGGCTAATCGATATATTTCTTGACATTTGATGATTTTTTTCAATAGAAACTTGAAAAGTACTTCATTGAATTTTAATTCGAAAAGTTAGATAGTTTCTCTAATGCTAACATCATAGATGAATTTAGACTTATGATCTATTATTCATAAAGTACCCTTTTTTTCAAACTTGATAATTCTTTCCTTGAGCAAATTATAAACGGAAAAACAACTCAATTTAAAATTACAAGGTACTAATAATTTCTTTGTTAAAGATGAAGAAGAAAGTTACAGTCAATGCAAATCTGATGGTTATCGTAATTTTAACTTCTTCCTTAAGGATCATATTATATTTCTTGGTCTCGATCAAAAGACTTACTTTGTCGATAAATATTCTCTCTAAAAAGTATCAGTAATAGATAACCTATATTTCTCTATTAGTTATCTAGATATGTACGAATATATCTTGGATCAAAATTTCAATATTTACGAATATAGCAATGTTGATGGTATTACTTTAAATAAAATACAGTAAATCTGCCCTTCAACCGTTTCGAGCATTAAATATATGTATAAGATATAAACTACCTCAAATAAAATCTTTATGTTCTTAGAGTAAAAAACTCAAGATTATGTACTATTCGTATTTGATTCTAAGACATTTTAACTAATCAATCAATTTCCGAAGATACTTCAAAAACAGTTTAATATACTTGAACTAGACTTGATCAATAATAGGCTTTATTTTAGAGATAACAATGAATAGGAAAAGATTAACTATATCAAATACAACACAAACCTTAATTCAAGTTATGACCTCGTCCCAATCGTAAACCATAAGAAACAATTAACTAAAACAGACGATTTATCATTTTTAAACAACTACTAATTATACAACTCTATAGAATAAGATGGCATGGTTGTGATTATTGACTTAAATACTGGAATTCAGAAAAAAATACTAAAGGAATAATTGAAAAATTGTAAGTAATACCTTAAGGCTAGCGATGAAATTTTGAAAAATGACAATTTCCATGAAATTATTAAAGAAGATTACGAGGATGAGTAATATGAATTAGTTTAAGATATAAATTCAAACGATATGCTTATAAAAAGGGATAACTATCATGTTTATCTTAATGGTAATCGTAAGGTGAAATGGGCTGATTTTAGGGTCAAATCAGGATATTAGTTTTAAAATAATAATACTCATTGTATTATGAAAAATAGATTTGGTGAAAAACAATATGTCTTTGATCATGCTTAGCCAAAATAAATAGTTTATTTTGATATCTAAAGCTTAGATTTTAAATCGATTGATCTTACTGATGAAATAAGAGTTAGTACAGTTCCTAGAGAAGCTGTTTTTGATGAAATCACAGGTTATCTATTGTTTGCATTTTACTCAGATGTCAAAATAGTCAATCTTCAAAGTGGAAAGGAAATTAAAGTAATAAATCCTCCCTAGAATAGGAATTAAATCTTTTTCGCCAACAACTATATTTAAATAAACTCTGAAAAGGGAACAAGTGTAATGTTTTTCAAGAATAAAAATGTCGACAAAGTTTTTTACATAGAGTAATTGAAAACATATGAAAATCTGTCTATTAATGACGCGTATTAAAAAGAGTCTAATACATAATCTTTCTTCTTATTTAGAAGATAAGAAAAAGATCTTGTCTCCTATACGATGGCATTCAACTCATTTGAAGAACTGTTTAATGAGGAATAACTGAATTAGCCTGTGTATCCTGCTTTTTATTTCACCTATACCTACAAGGCAATAATAGATTCAAGTATGGTATAGATTTATATTAAAAATGAACAAGAAATGGTAGGTTTTTTCGATATTAACATTACTGATCAGCTAATTAAAGACTATAGAAATATTACTACCTTGACTAATGAATAGATAATCAAAGAACTGACATCTAATATAGATAATTACCTTAAATTCATTGATGGATATGGCACAGGAATAACACTATTTTAGAATAACTTGATTGCTTTAGAGACCATTGTAAAATAGCTGTCAGTGAAAGATAAGTCAGCAATACCAATTCTTATATGCTAGAGAATGCTTGGGGAGGAAACCCCTTTAGATTTTTCAATAAAAAATAATCAGCAAAAGATCATCAATCTTATCCTAGCATTAATCATAAAATACTAAGATCACATCATGTTTAACTAAATAATAGATAAAAATTTATGCGAACTTATCAAACAATAGATTGACTTATAAGAATACTTAGAAAGTCATCTCCCCAGTTACGAGATTTTGGATCCATCTTATCCAAGTTAGCATCGCGATGATTAGGAGTTGATTGAAGGAACTACTTTGGAAAATCCTAAAGATGCTCATTTAAAGTATGAGGAATTATTTGGAAGCAAATTGGACAATAAAACATAAGAAGATGATTCCATAGTTTCAATAGAATATCATTTGATTAATTTACCTGTAACTTTGACAACAAATCCCTAATACATAATGGAAGTACTGAGTTAAACAGAAAAACCTGAATATTTTGAGAATTTAACAATACAAACTATCATAAATTTTAAATGGAAAGAGTACACAAAGGAATTTTACTAAAAAAGATTCTACATTTTCCTGATATTCATGGCCTTTTTTATTTTCGATATTTTCTATTCAGCTTATGCGACTCAAGATACTAAAGAAGACACAAAAGAAGCTAAAACAGAGGATTAAACTTAGCCTCCTAATATATGGTATAAAATATCTCCGAAAATTGTTTGTGGAATAGTACTTATTTACTTCTTAAGCTATGAGGTAAAACAAATAATTAAGTAAAAAGGGGATTACTTTTAAGATGTATGGAATTACTTTGATTTTACTCATATTATTTCGTTTACAGCTTTTTGCATTCTAGACTTCACAGAATAGGACGAAGGTTATCTTATCTTGATAAAAATCCTAGTAATCATACTAACTTTTATGAAGCTATTCTTCTTTATTAGAATATATGATGGCTTTAGTTTCCTAGTTTCAATGCTTGCTGGTGTCTTCAAAGACATCAAATACTTCTTAATGTTCTTCGTGATTTTTATACTCCAGTTTGGAATGATATTCTTAGTCCTTTTTAAGGCATAATCTATAGAAGAATACAATGGTGTGAATAAAGTAGCATACTTTCTCATGGCCTTCAGAATATCATCTGGTGATTTCAATGTTGATGATTACTAAAATTAAGATAGTATGCTAGTTATTGTTTCATGGATTATCTGGTTGATCGCTGTTATGGCATTGAATATCGTCTTCATGAACTTTATTATCGCTGTGATATCAGAATCATACGAGAGAGTCATGCAGAAACTTGTTGCTGAGTTATATCGAGTAAAAGCCAACATGATTGTTGAGAGAGAGCAGCTATTGAGTGCTGATGAATTGGCAAGCAAACAATATTTCCCTAACTTTATTGTTGTGAGAAGACCTTTAAACACAGAGGCAACTGAGGGTGGGGAATGGTAGGGATTCATAAAAGATCTCAAATATACCATTAGAACTTCAGCTGCTAAGTCTAGAGGAGAAATTATCCTAAATCTTAACTCTATTAAGACTTAGAATTAAGATAATGGGCAAAAGCTAGAGGACAGAATTTCGCAATCACTTAAACTTTTAAGAACTGATCTTGACACTAAAGTCGGTAGCCTTGATGAGCAAGTTAAAGGCTTAAAAGGTGATATGGATTTTATCAAGAACTCATTAACTTAAATTCTGTAGAAAAATATCCAGTGATTACCTCCTGGCTATTGAAAATTAAAAATTCTTTTGACTCAATTTCTTCAAAAATATGCATATGGCACTTACTTATGCATTTAGAAATTGAAAGTCATTAAAAAACACATAAAAATGAATTAATACTAAAATTATTAGATTAATTTATTTACTAAAACATTAATTAACTATTTTACTATTAATTTTATGTCACGGGGTTTTGGGGTTTTGGGGTTTTGGGGTTTTGGGG